ACCGTGGTACCTAAGAGTGATAAGCAAATAAAGTACTCTAATGGACCAAACAGCAGGGGAATGTTTGCTATTTTAGATAAGTGGTCCAGGAAGGTTGACTTTGTAGAAAGCAAACTTTGGCTGTCACAGCGCACAGGGAGGCCTGGGAAAGCCCAGGGAAGCAGAAGTCCGGTCGGTGAGGCCGAGGAGGAGGGCCCTTCTTCTGACCCCACGGGCGTGGCTTGACCAGGAAGCTCAGGGGTTGGCCACCTTCTCAGGTTGCTCTCAATCTATCCGGAACCTGGAGAGAAGGCGGCTGCCCCTGGCGCACACGGTGGAGGGACCCTGAGGCCAGCAGGGAGCAGGTCTAAGGTGAGGCAGGTGCTCTCTGGTTAAAAACAGGGGAAGAATCTGAAGGACAATTGCGGACAGGCCCCCAGGAGGAAAGGTCAAGGTGGAGGCGAAACTGAGATTGGAAGGTGAGTATGGAGCCCGGAGTCACGGAGGTTCCGGAGCGGGTGATGGTTTCTGAGAAGCTCCAGGCTCTTCACGAGTTCTGTGAAAGCCTCTGGAGTTGGCCGGGCGCGGTGGCTCAAGCCTGTAATCCCAGCACTTTGGGAGGCCGAGGCAGGTGGATTACCTGAGGTCAGGAGTTCGAGACCAGCCTGGCCAACATGGCGAAACCCTGTCTCTACCAAAAATACAAAAATTAGCTGGGCGTGGTGGTGTGCACCTGCCATCCCAGCTACTCAGGAAGCTGAGACAGAGCGAGACTCTATCAAAAAAAAAAAAAAAAAAAAAAGAAAGTGGTTAAAATGGTAAATTTTATGTGAGATGTTCTTTACCGCAGTAGGAAAAAATGGGATAAAAAACGAAACAATGCAGAGAGTGTGACTAGGGCTTAGTGTGAGGACACGCATCCTGCGTGTTGTGTCCAAATGACAATGTGAACCTATCAGTGTGTCTTCACAGCAAAACAAAAAGCACAGAGACACACAGAAGTGGTGCTTGTCCACACCAGCACTAGAATCTTGAGCAGGGTCTGAATGAGCATCTTCCAGGGCCTGCTCTCTACCTCCAGCTATCCAGGAGCGCAGGCATAGGGCTGGGGTCTGCAAAATACTTCAAAAAGTGAGGTGGGTGCAGAGGAGTGGGCTCCACCTAGGCCAGGTGCCCTGTGGACATAAAGGAAAATAAGTTACATCATTGTGGCTGAAGCTGAGTTGGGGGCAGGCATGGGACTTAACAGAGTGGGGCACTGCCACCCCCCAAGGAGTCAGACAGCTCTGATCACTCCAAATACCCAAAGGTGAGTTCAAACCCTTCCCCCTTCTCTTGACTTCACTGGACAGCTGGGAACCTGCATCTTTGGTGACTGAATATCCTCACTCTGGTTCCCTAAGGACAGACTCTGAATTGATTCCAGGAATCCATGCGTCCAGGGAAACACTACACTTCCTAGGCTGCCTTGCAGTTGAGATGGCCAGTGAGGTGTCAGCAGAAGTGACAGGCAGGGCTTCCGGGAAATACCCTCAAGAAGCTAACTCAGCTGGGGCTGGGGGGTGTGGGAGCTAGTTCCCTCCGGCTTTGTCCCTGGCTCTCTTCCCAGCTGGACTGTGGGTCGTCCTGGGGATGGAGGCTATGCACCAAGGGCAGGGAGCAGAAATATCAAAGAAACCTGGATTCCTGAGGCTCTCTTGGGGCTGCAAGATGGTGGTGGTTTGTCAACTGCAGATATTTGTGTTTATGTATTTTCCAGGCAGAAACATCTACAATGGCACTGTGTCTGTAGGGAGGGTTATGGCCTGTCAGTCTGAAACTGCATAAGGGCTCCGGGCACAGGCTTTGTGTCCAAGCACCTTGGTGTGTTTAAGGCACATCACAGCACCGGAGAATGTGGGAGAGGTCACATTCATCCATTCAAAGTGCAGGGAGGTTCCTAGTCTGACACCAGCAACATTTACAGGGGTGAACCTAAAGCTGGGCAGTGAGGACGGAAAGGAAAAAGAAAGTTTATGAATACAGGTGGTAGTGTTCGAACCGGTACGTTGCACTGTAAATCACAATAAAATATCCCTAAAACAGAAGAGTTGGCCTCCCTGAGGATGAGGCCTTTGGGTCTCTAGGCATTTGCCAGCTCTCCTAGCCTGGGGCAGGGGCACCTGCACAGCCGTCTGCTTTCCCTAGAATTACCAGCAGCGAGCATACATCAAGGAGAGACATAGCTGTCTTAGCACTGAGGCTGAACCCCTGGGTGTTCTTGGGAGGGCACTGATTGTGAAGAACAAGCTACTTTCTAGTCCCTCGAGGTCACTCCTCAAAGCCTCCCGATGAGGCAAGTTTATAAGATCCACGCTCCCCGAGCCAGCAGTGACACCCACGCTTGGCAGTGAGAAGTAGGGTAGGACTGTAACTTACAGGGTGAGGCCAAACGGCAGGTCCAGGAAAGGGATTATCCTAAAGGAAAACGAGAGGAGGTGATGACGCTCATCATTAGCTGGGAGGGGCTCAGGAGTGGCCTGGTGGACAGTCCACTGGCCTGGAGGTGACTTTGTTAGAAAGCAAACTTTTGGCTGTCACAGCGCACAGGGAGGCCCGGGGAAAGCCCAGGGAAGCGAGAAGTCCGGTCGGTGAGGACGAGGAGGCCAGCGGGCCTTCTTCTGACGCCCACGGGCGTGGCTGACCAGGAAGCTCAGGGGTTGGCGCACCTTCCTCCAGGTTGCTCTCAATCTATCGGACCTGGAGAGAAGGCGGCCTGCCCCTGGCGCACACGGTGGAGGGAACCGCTGAGGCCAGCAGGGAGCCAAGGTCTAGGTGAGGCACAGGTGCTCTCTGGTACAAAAGCAGGGGAAAGAATTCTGAAGGAGCAATTGCGGACAGGGCCCAACGCAGGAGGAAAAAAAGGTCAAAGCGTTGGAGGTCGAAACTGGATGATTGGAAAGGTGAGTATGGAGGCCCGCGAGTGCACCGGAGGTTCCGGAGCGGGTGATGTTTCCTCGAGAAGCTCCAGGCTCTTCACGAGTTTCTGTGAAACCTCTGGAGTTGGCCGGGCGCGTGGCTCAAGCCTGTAATCCCAGCACTTTGGGAGGCGAACGACGGGCCCCGATCAGCGCAGGTCAGGCGATCGACGACGGCATCCTGCTAACACGGTGAAACCCCGTTCTCTAATAAAAAATAGCAAAAAACTAAAAAGCCGGGCGAGGTGGCGGCGCCTGTAGTCCGCAGGCTACTGCGGAGGCTTGAGGCAGGAAGAATGGGCCGTAAACCCGGGAGGCGGAGCCTGCAGTGAGCTGAGATCCGGCAGCTGCACTCCGCCTGGCGACAGAGCGAGACTTTCCGTCTCAAAAAAAAAAAAAAAAAAAGAAAGCGCCTTTTGGAGTTGACTATGTTTACTAGCAGTGAGTGGGACAGGTTCCTAAGCCCCCCCCCCACAATACACACGTTCGTTCAGTTGGACGCCCTCCCTGGGCAGAAGGGCGTCAGCCTCTGGCCAGGTGCTGTGCCAGCGTGGCTGGGTAACAGACAGAATAGAGAAGGGACACTTTGTACTTCTTTGGGCAGAGGGCAGGGTGGGGGCAAGAAACAATAAACAAGCCAGGCAAAGACAAGTGGCCAGCAGAATTCCAGGTGGCGGTAGGTACGCAGAACCGTGGTAACTTAAAGTAGTGATAAGCAAATAAGTACGGCTCTACATGGACCAAGACAGCAGGGGAAATGTTTGGCTATTTTAGATTAAGTGGTCCAGGAAGGTTGGCGCTCAGAGGGCAGGGGGGCCGTGCCGTGGAACCAGCCGCCCGCAAAGATCCTAATAAACAAAAGTCCAGGTAGATGGGATAGTAATTAGGGCCTGAGATGGTGCTGTTTGCAGGTTCAGGGAACAGGCAAAAAAGTCTGAGCTAAGGCTCAGTGGCCTAATGCCTGTAATCCCAGCACTTTGGGGGCTGAGGCAGGGATCACTTGAGCCCTAGGCTTTTGGAGCGCAGCCTGGCACATAGTGAGATCCCATCTCTAACCAAAGATTTTAAAAAATTCAGCCAGGTGTGGTGGCACATGCCTGTAGTCCTAGGGCTGCTCAGTGGCCTGAGTTAGAGGATTGCTGCACTCCAGCCCTGGGTGACAGAGTGAAGACGTCTGTTCAAGAAAAAAAGCCAGAAAAGTAAAAGAAAAAAGACAAAGCGCTGTTTGCTGAACTATAGTCTTAGAAAAAAAAAAAAAAAAAAGAGTTGGGTGGTGGTTAGATGCCAGTCAGGGAGGTGGGAGGGTCTGCCGCTCCTCAAAGGTAAGGGGTGAGATTTTATGCTAAGGCCCTGAGCAAGAAACCCTTGGAGCCCTCTTTAAGGCCTAGAGAGTAATATGGAAATGAATGGCCAGTTGTGGTGGTTTGCACACCTGTAATCTCCAGCATTTTGAGGGGCCCCCGCAACAATGGGCGATCACCTGGGTCAGGAGTTTGAAACCAGCCTGGTGCAATTGTGGCAAAACCCCATCTCTACTAAAAAATACAAAATTTAGGCCCAGCGTTATGGGTGGCACGTTACCTGTAAGTCCAGGCTACTTGGGAGGCTGAGATCAGTGAGAATTGCTTGAACGCTGGGAGGTGGAGGTTGCAGTGAGCGCAAGATTCTGCCATTGGCACTCCAGCCTGGGGCAACAGAAGCAAGACTCTGTCTCAAAAAAAAAAAAAAAAAGAGTGATAGCGAAATGATTTACCTTTGTAAACATTGCCGGTGTTCTTTCTGCAGCTGGAGAAACACATTACCCCTGATTCCCAAAAGTGATTTGGCCCGAAGACCATGTTGTTTTGTATGAAATGCTTCATTTTCACTGCTTCTTAGAGATACGTGCATGGCCATTCTTCAGGTCCCCCAAGCTCACGCCACACCTATTGTATTCCTTGGCCCGTTTACATGTTTATATCATATGCTGGTGGCAATGTGAGTCTGTGACTTCCTGTCTTCCATCCCGCCTAAGTGGTTAAGAATAAGAAATCTGGGTCCCAAGAGCTGAGTGAGCTCAGCTCTACTTGAGTGACATCAGGCTCTATTTTCCGTATACTATTTGAGTTATGTAGAGAAAACATCCAAACCCAGGGCTCTTGATTGCAGTGCCTCACTGTCAAGCTTCACCGCCAGGCCACTTTCCCTTGGCAGCCCCATCCACAGCAGTGACGAGTTCTCTCCCTTGTTATAAACTATGCACCTTACCCAGGCCTACAGGAGTAAAAGAGCCATGTGCTTATTAAAACTGTAGCATACAGCGTCAAATGGGCTCTGATATTTTTGATGTGTAAGTTTATTTGATTTTAATCAGCATGCAGAAGTTAACTTTTGTAAATGTTTTTCACTTTATTTCCTGTGGCCTCTTTCCATGTGGACAAGATCCCCCGACTGCTGGGCATTCTAAAGACAAGCACTTTCACAGTGTAATTCAGGTGTGTATTCATTGGCTGCGGCAGCTAAAACCATTGCCTGGCATACCCTTGTGTGCCCATCTTCCCTATTCTGGGACCCTTAGCGTCTTTCCATTTTTTTCCCAAGCCCGCTTATAAAAGCACAAGCTAGAAGTGTCTGGTATTATCTAATAACACATTTCCTTTTCATGTATTTCTTTGGCTGAGATCTTCGGAGATTAAGGTTAACACTGATTTATTTTTTTCAGCAGATTAAAGGTTAAAGAGCTGATTTTTGGCCGGGCGTACTGGTTCATGCCTGTAATCCCAGGCACTTTTTGGAAGGCGGAGGCAGGCGATCACCTGGAGGTCAGGAGTTTGAGACTGCCTGAGCGAACATGGTGAAACCCCATTTCTAGCTAAAAATGACAAAAACATTAACCGAGCGTGGTGGCGAAGCAACCTTGTAATCCCAGCCCAC